TGCTTGATTTGGAAACTTTATTCATCCTCCTCCCTGTATTGCACACTAATTGTATTAAAGTTCCTTTCCATTAAATGTCTTTTGCACTAGAATAGGTTTTGTCTTGATGCAGCAGATGGCAGAATCTATTTAGAGTGGGCAGGTTTGGGGCTTTGGGCTGCCCCTCACCCTACCCTGTAACACAGTAACATCAGACCTTCATCTTTACTGCTGTTTGGCGATATCTTCATTACTTTTGGCAGAATAGCATCTCATTTTTGTTTCAAATTTTTTTTTTTGCTTATTAGGAGTGAGTCTCCAGTTCTTTTTATTCCTTTAGGCTTCCTGAGTGAAGCAGCAGCTCTGCAGAAAGAAGGCAGAGGAAGAGGAAGCCAGAGTGCTAGTGGGCAGACTTTGCTCACCGAGCCTCCCTTTGTGGGGCACACAGCTCCATGACATTTCCTTCTCTACTCCCTTTATTGATTTTTTCCTCCTGTGGTGCTATTTCGGCTGTCTCCACACCTCTAATTTTAAAACCATGGGGCGAAGATGACTTCTCGATCGTGTCTTTTTTTCTGTGTAACTGTCTAATTTTGTGCTTTGAGTTTTCTTGAGAATTTTTGCCTGCTTAGTCATTATCTTTTTCCCTCTTGGTTCTTTGTCCTTTCTCTCATTTTTCATTCTTTTTCTTCTGCCTCTGCTGCTCTGTTCCCATAGGTCCTTAAATCTTTATGTGCTGCTTTTCTTTTAAGTTACATTTTCCTCTTCCACCCCAAGCTAGAAATGCTTGTTCTGTCAAAGAAAGAAGGGATGGAAGGAGTGGAAAGGTCAGCATACATGTCCAAAAGGAACTAAACCTAGGTGCCCACCTACCCAGCTGTTTTGAGAAAATGATGCTCTTCCCAAAATAGTCAATTTGCCAAAATAAGTGTTAAAGAAGGAAAGAAAGTTGGAATTAATCAAGTTCTTATCAGCCTCTCTGAGTTGCTGTAGGATCCTTAGACATGTCATTTCCCCTCCTTAGGCCTCCTGCTTCCTGACTAAAATGAAGAGGTTGAACCCAGTAATCCTTTCATTCCTTAAACTCCCAGTGTGTAAGACTCTTGTACCTGAAAACCTGTTTCCTTTCTGTGCCTTGAGGGGACACCTTCCAGAGTACCAGATTGTTTAATAGAATTGACTGAAAATACCATTAGCTACAAAGGTGTTGGAAATGCTGGAAGGTGAGATGCTAGAAGGCACATAGGTGCCATGGAGGCAACTCCTACTGGTGGGTGACAGCAAGAATCTTCGGTCAGCCCCACTGGAAGTGAAAGGAGGTGTCATGAGGCCAGGGCCAGCTGATGGTGCAGGAGTCACAGCTGGAGGGATATTGGGCGGAAGCTGAGGAAGGAAGGGCTATTTGAAGCTAGAGCTTCATAGGAGAAGTTGCTAGTGCCAGAGTTACGAGTCAGCTCAGAAAGAGGAAGACAGAGACCTGTGTCTTCCTCTCACTGGCTGGTCTCTGCACAGTTTCAAATCTAGGCACAAGCCGGTTAGCACAGAGAATGATCTAAAGGCGAGCAGACAAAAGCTGGCAGAAACGAATTGGTGGCTCTGGGTCAGATGAACATTAAACTCTCATCTGCCACTCTTATTCCAAGTTCAGAAATTCCTTGGAAGACTACTGATGTGCCAGTCTTGAAGTCTTGGGTTTTATTTATTTATTTTAAAAGATCCATTATTTATGTATATTAGTACTGGGATATAGGCCAGAGTTGCAGAGATGAGAGGATTCCAGAGACAGAGTGAGGAGCAGAACAAGTAGATCTAATGAAATACACTGGTGAGGGGAGCAGTGGGCGAGACAGGAGAGGTTTGCTGTGCCTTGTGGGTCACCTCCTTGGCTGGGGATCAAACTCCTGCTGCAGTGGCTGTGGGTAGCTTCATAGTGCTGTGCTTTAACCTCTTACACAGACAGGGAGGCCCCAAGTCTCAGGTTTCTCCTTCTCTCTTTCCTCTCAAAGCTTGCAGTAATTACAGTTTTCCTTCCAGGCATTCTGCCATTTCACGAGAATCCTCTTCCTAGTAGATACTTGGTCATTTGAAGACAGGATGCTTTTATGTGGTCTCAGTGATCCCAGGGTCACTCTTCATTATCAAGAGGACCCTGGGAATGTGGGACCAGAATACAAATACAGGGAAGCAACAGTGTTAAGTTGATTGATACTGTTAATCAAAAAAGCTCTGATTTTACCAGTGATCTTGTGCCAAGTAACATGAGCCAGTGACTCAGTGAGTTTCCCATTATGAAGGATAGTTTCATTAATAGGATGGACTAGATATGATAAATTGGCTAGGTTCTTCAGAAGTGACAAATATCCCTCTGAAGCTCAAATTTCATAGGGCTTTACTTTTCACCAGATACGCATGGAGTCACCTGGGGAGGTGACTGTGTGTCTGTTCTCACGCTGCTCCTGGGTTGAAGGCTCAGCTGCCATCTTGAATATTGCTATTCTGTGGGTAAAAGAGAATGTGTATGTGGTAGGAGTGACGACCATCAAATATTGGCTTAGATGCCTACATACCACATATAATTACAATTCATTAGCTGGAACTAGTTGCAGGGCCCCATGTTACTTCAGGTTAAGCAAGGAAGTGCATGGAAGAAGGAAAGTTAGAAATATTGGTTGACTTGCATTAAGGTGGCTAGAGAAAGTTAATGCCTGATTGTTCATGAATGTCTTGACCATTAGATAAAATGAGTGCCTATTAGAGGTAAATGTACAATCAGCAGTACGTGGAAATATTGTTATTATTCCACAGTTGATTACATTTCCAGCATACCTCGTACCCTCCATTTACTTAGCATGTTTTCATCACCTTTTTTTCTTTTCCATAAAAATGCAGAAATAAATTTAAGTTTTGCTTTCTAGAGTGATCACAAATCCCTAATAAATAAAATTGACTTAATGACATCTTAGACCTACTAAGGGCCCTCTTCCGATGGCCTTTATGAAGGTAGGTGACTATTTTTCAAGATGATCTCTAGTAGATTGATAGCTTTAGTATCAGAGACTTCAGAACTATGTTCACCATGTTGCTTTTCAATTCAAGAGCAATATGCTTTGAACAGACTTTTATTTGAGACAATGCAGAAATAGTCAATATGTATTATATGTCTATGAAGCTAGTCTCTGGATCAATTGCAATTAGTTTGCAGGAGATTACATTAGCATATCTAAAATGAATACACTTGGTGTTCTGATGAAAAGGAATTAACATGAGCACACTGTGACCATTTTTAGGTCTTTCTCCAAGGTTCTTTTCAAGCCATAATTTTATATCCTTCTGTTACTGCCTTTAAATTGGGATGTCAACTAAACTTAACCTATTGATCCTTACCCACTTGCCTTCTAAATGTGGTCCAAGAATATGGCATATAACTAACTTTTAATGTTTTCTTTCATTACAAGTCTCTTACAAAATACCTTAAACTTGTATTTGTCTTGTTGTGTTACGTGACTTGCTATTAAGTATGTTCATTTTTCAAGTGTGTTTTTCAGATTATTTATGCTTTATCAAAATATATACACAGTTAATGATGTAACCATTGCTTGTGAGACAATTTATTTTTATTCAAAAGAAGTAGTGCAGAGAGCATAGATATTAAATACATCATTATTGCACCCTCCCTGGTGGTGCAGCTGGTTAAAGCGCAGCACTATAAGCTTGTCGAAGTCACTGCATCACGAGTTCAATCCTTGACCAGGGAGCCTACCCTCATGGTGTGGCAGACCTCTTCTGACCCACCCTCTGGTCCCTTCATCAGTGTACTTTGTCAGTCTGCCTGTTCTGCTCTCCACTCTGTCTCTGGAGAATCCTCTCATCGCCCCCCACCTCTGGCCTGTACTCCAGTTCTGTATGCATAAATAAATAAATCTTTAAAAAAACATCATTACTACTGATATTTATAAAGGTGAACCAGGTAGGGGCCACTGACAGAGGTGTCTCAGGTGAGATTCCCCTACCTGGTCTTGTGATCCAGTTGTGTGATTGATTTCTTGGTTTGTGTCTGTGACAATGGTATCATCATCCTTCCTCCTGCAACTAGTAGTTCATTTGTATCCTATCTTATGAATGGAAAAGACTTTAATTATATTCACTTTTTCCTTTTAAAAATGGAGCCTATGGATTTGATAGAGAATGCTGTTACTCTTTATTAGATGTGATGGGAATAATTTATTGATTGATATATTTTGTCCTTTGATAAGTTTCTTCGATTAGTTTTTGATAGAAAAAACTAATTTGTAGAGTTTACTGGAAAACCACTTCTACATGATACTTAAGCAAGGTGACTTATTATAGTTTGTTGGAACTAGTTTAATTAATGGTGATTTAGGTTATGACATTTAACTTTGGTATGTGGAAGAGCTAATTTTATTAACTGTGTAATGATTGTACCTAGACTCCATTAATACTAAGGTAAAGATAGTAGTCTTTTGCCAATTGACCTCAAAGTGTTTTAAAAAAAGTTCTTTCTGGGATACACAGACTACACATATTAGAATAATGCTTGAGCTTTATTTGTGTGTGAGGAGGGGCACAGGAAAGATGCACACTCTATAATTAACATTTTTTTTAAAAAAATAACTTCTCATTTTGAAACAGTTATATACTCAAAGGAGCTACAAAAACAGTTCAACAGTTCTTTCACCCCTGTTTCCCTAATATTGATATCTTCAATTTAAAATTTTAGAAATAGCAAAACTAGGAAATGGTGTCAGTATATTATTGTTAACCAAAGACCTTATTCAGATCTTTCTTTTTAAAAAATCTGCATTTGTGTCTGTGTACACATGTAGTTTTCCTAACATTTTTTTTATTAGAAAGGCAATAAAATAAAGAAGAATTTATGTAGATTTTTTTTCTTTTTCTTTCCAAGATCTGTGTTGCTGATTGCCATCTGAGAGGACCTATTAGATTGTTGTTTTTCCTGTTATTCAAAATCATCCTACCTTTTTCTCCTCTGATTTCTCTAGGCACTTCAGTTAACCCCTAGACGATGGCTAAACCTACAGGAATATCAGAGCAAGAAACTGATGTCTGACAATGGAGTGAAAGTTCAAAGATTCTTTGTAGTAGACACTGCAAATGAAGCTCTGGAGGCTGCTAAGAGACTGAGTAAGTAGATTCATAACAGATGAAATGTGCTTGCCCAAATTAGTGAATTTATAGGTAGTCATATCTCATTATACTGAAATTTCTGTATTGTGCAGAGATAGGTGCAGTGGAGAACTATGAATTACAAAGACAAAAAAAGTCCAACTAGGAACATTTTTAATCTTTTACAAACTATAGCCATATATGGGATGTCACTCTACTCAGAATTTTTCTGAGTTTTTCAGCCAGTCTTTCACCTAGGACTTTTATGTGATCTAGTGACCAGGAGAGATTTGGTTGAAGGGTAGAGAGTCAGAAAGAAGCCCATCTTAGGGTAAGTGAAGCAAGAGAGTTCACATGTGTTTTAAGCCTCTAGCAACATGGGAAAAGTTCCCTCTGCGTGACGAGGAGAAAAAGGGGAAGATCATATGCTTTTGAAAGCATACTTGGGGCAGTATTTGGTTTTCCACTTACTAGCTTTGTAATTTTGCATAAGCACTTCTTCTGTCAGTGTCTCATCTTTCTAATCAATAAGTCAAGAATACAGCTGGCCCTTGAACAACATAAACATGAACTCTGCAGGTTTGTTTATGTGGAATTTCTTCTACCTAAGGGTCCCGTTTTTGACGATCTAGCCAGCTGCGGATGTTGGTTGGCTGATCCATAGAAATAGAAGTAGTGGAGGTGGAGTGCTGACTCTTATGGACTGCCCCAGAGGTCCATAACCTTGCCTCCAGGTTGTTCAAGGGTCAAGTGTAATGTGTTTGTCTTCCAGTGCTGTTGTGTTTAAGGGAGATTGTACTTTGTGTTTATTGTAGACAATCAAACCCATTTCCTCAGTTATAGATTGAGAAATTAGGAGTCAGATCCTGCTGTTTGTCTTTTAGTTTCATTTTCAAAAACTATCAAAATCAGTGTTTGTGGTGGAAAAAAAAAAAAAAACTAGTATAATTAGACCTAAAGCTGGAGGAGAACCCCTCAGTGAACTATGGTAATAGACTCAGTAGAGTTTAGTACTCCCACCTTTTTGCATGAGAGAATCATTTTTGTTTTATACTCCTGTGGTTTGGGGGTTGGTAATGAGAGCACAGAAATGTTAAATTTAACTTGATCTTTGGTGTTTATTTTCTCCACTATTTTCCTAAATGTGCTGACACACAGGATTCCAGGCTTAAGGATCCATTCTTTAGGGAATTCTGAAAGCCAGCTGACTACCACCACCAGCACCCCCTTCATCATAGCACAGCTAGAAAATTTATCTTTCAAATTTTCATGAAGATTTGAACTCACTGAACTAATTGACTTCTTCATCATGGATTTGTTTTGTAAGCATGTGCTTAGCCACTGATTTGTGGTCAGGGGGTGTATACTTTTTGTAAGAAAGAATTTTTGCTCTGGAGGAATTAGCAAGGCGGTGTTTACAGTGCTGGCACAGAGCAAAGGAAGAGGGAAAGATGTGCAATAATATTCATTTAAATAAAAGCACATTAAAATTAAGAAGTGAAAATAAACTTGAGAAAGCCATTTTGCTTCTTGTGGAGTAGTTTTTTTTTTTTCTTTATAATATAATAGTTTATTTTTACATCATTTTGTACATTTTTTAATATCTCAATTGTAATCCCCGTGCGTTTCCCATCATTGAGTCACCTGTGTGCCATCACCATAGTCTCGTGCACTTCCCCCCCCCCCATTTTTGATCCTGTCCCCCACTCCACCCCTTGTGGAGTAGTTTTAAGGAATCTAAACTGCATAAAGAGCTTGAAGCTGAGGTGGCTGTGCTACACCTGTGATGATCCTCTAGGTGGTGTGGCACCAGGAGGGCCTCTCTGATCCTGCTTAGAATGAAGATAAATTTTGAGAGCCTCAATTGATATGTGAATGAGTCATCCTTTTCTTACTCAGTGAGTAGTTCCTGTGGCAGTTTCTCCTTTGATTCTTGTGTTCATCAAAGGAGAAATTGACGGCATTGGAAGAGGCTGTGGTACCAAGTCTAGCTGGTTAAACATCAAGCAAATTGATAGTTAATATGGAAGAAATTATGCACGCCACTGAGATTGCCCAGAGAGAGAGCAAAGGAAGAAAAATCTGGCAAAACTTCAGTACTTACATTCTTCTCACTGTAAGGGGGACAGGAACCAAGAGCACAGTGGGAATTTACCAACTAAATTTGCGCTTAAGCTAAAGCTTGACCATAAATGTATTTTCTAATGGTTCTGAAGAGGGAACCTTATATGGAATTGGTGAAAAATTACTTAAAAGGGTAATAAACCCAACTTGAACTAAGTAACATATAAAACTTTTTGCTGTCATCATCATCAGCATATTGTTTTAAGGGGGTCATTGATGTCACTGTTTAAATTTATAGTCAAGCCAGAGATACAGTATCTTGTAGATCATGCGTTATGAAAGTTCATATTTGAATTTGAAAAGTTGAAATGCACTTGCTTCCCTTTCTACTTTACTCGTATTTGGATTTGTTTTGTATAAATAATATATATAAATAATTCTATTTTTATTAATATGTTTAAATATATTTGTTTTATGTATATATATATATGTTATATATATATATATATATATATATGTTATATATATATAGAGAGAGAGAGCTGAGAATACCACCAGATCGTCATTAATATTTTCTGTCACAGTCAATCAGTTGCCAAGTCCTGCCATTTTTAAAGGCTGCCTGTTATTTTGTAAAGCATAGAAACAAGGAAGATGAGGTTAAAACATGGCAAGGTTGTATAATTAATAATTAGAAAATGGGATCTACCCCCTCCCCAGATTAGATTTTTTTTTTTAAAGATTTATTTATTTATTCATACAGAGCTGGGGTACAGGCCACAGATGCGGAGGGTGAGAGGATTCACTAGAGAGAGAGTGGGGAGCAGAACAGGCAGATCGACGAAGTACACTGCTGAGGGGAGCAGCGGGCTGGTCAGGAGAGGTCTGCCATGCCATGTGGTCACCTCCGGGGCAGGCAGGGATTGAACTCATGCGGAAGTGGCTTTAGCGTCTTAGTGCTGTGCTTTAACCCGCTGCGCCACCAGGGAGGGTCCCCAGATTAGATTTAATCTCCTCCCCAAGCACTTTTCCTCTTTGCTAACTTGATGATGATAATCTTGGGAGATATTTATATGTGAGTCAGCATTTTTAAGTTGGAAAATGCATATTAATAAAATCAGAAGATTGAATTAAAGCTAAATGTGGCAGGTTCTAAGGCGCAATTTATAGAAAATGTGTAATCTGCACATATTTTCTTAATGATTCATTTTGGTATATGTCTTTGGGCAATAGACCATTTTGCCTTATAGTTATAGAGGGCTTGTTAATTTGAACATTGGTTTAAAATGGGTAATGCAAACCTTTGTTTCTGAAATACAATTCATAATGATAAAAAATTGAGGCTCATTTTCTTGCACAAGAAATGGGTTTATGTCTGATTGAAAGAGTAAATTTAGTTTGGTGAATGAAGTTTTTAATATGTGGATAATATTCATTTCTGCAGCAGTTTGTATGATTGAGCTTTAAGGAAGGAGTTGTTTCCCTGACCTATCATTTTCTCAAAGTTGTATTAATTTTATGTCTTTCTCTTTTATGGATTAAAGTCAGTGTGTACAATAAATAGTTACAGAACACCTACTGTGTGCACAGCTAATCATTAAGATTCCTTTAGATGAAAGAAAGAATGTATGTGCTACATACAAAAGGCCTGCCCTGAAAAAGTACTTTTGCATGTGAGCAGAGATGAAATTTATTTAGGACCCCTACCTTCTAGTTTTTGTACTCTCCACAATGTATTAATTATTCCATTCATGTTGATATAAAACTTTCACAATCTGATTAAGCAAGAAGATTGTATTTCACATATTCAGTTTTATTTTTGGCCAGGAAAGAAATTGAAATATGAAGAGAGAAATTAATCTTCTCTGAGCTAATGACATGTATCCTAAAATGGAGATAAGGAGCTCCTATTGAATTTAGTTAGCTTTGGATTGCTTTCAGCTGCTTTGTTTCCATTTGTCAATATGATAACTTATTCTTTTTGTTTTATATAATCACATCCTAAAGCCTGGTGAATTACTTACACCATTAAGGAATTGTATTTTATGTAAAAAGGGAACAGTTGTTCATTGACTATTGGTTGACATGTACTATTAATCCTATAGGCAGTTAAGTACATTGCAAGCCTCCTTGATTTTTGTAGTTTTGTCATATCACATCATGTGGTTAGGATCTTAGAAAAAGGTGTTTCCTTTGTGTTGAGATGATCGTCATTATTGTCTTATAATGATAGGATGATTTCGGTGTAGTTAATCCTCTTAACACCATATTTACCACACATTCTATTGAGTTTGGAGTTAGAAATGTAAAGAAGCAAAGATAACGGCAAAAGCAGCCTCAGAGGTTGAAGCAATATCTGCTTTAAGCGCGCGATGGTGCCTTTACCAGATGGCTCTTACTGACTTCTCTGTGACTGCTGTGGGCCCCTCTTCATGTTCTGAGCCTGATTCTCTGGCCTCCTTGGTGAATATGTGGCCCCTTTCCCCTTTATCTTTCCAGCAATGCACTTTCCGTTTAATTCAGTTAGACTCAATTTCTTTTACTTGCTGCTAAGAACCCTGACTCATCTAGACAGAAATTATTATCATAGGTCCCGAGACGTAGTAAATGCTCCTTGAATATCACTTTAACCATAAAATTTTTCACTTGCTCACATTCTCTCTCAAATAGTCTTTAAAGGAGCACCTGAGCTGATATTCAGGATTTTTCCTAAATGTGTTTATAAGACCAATTCATTCAACAAGTTGTAGCCTTTCAATAACATCCATTTATATACATATATATATATATGTATATAAATCTACAAAGAGATCCCCCTTTTGTAAAATGCTCTTTTCTGCCCGAGTTTGCAAATATACACAAACTTCTCTTGTCATCTCAGAATTTCTCTGTGCTGGAATATCTTTTGTAATTGTCATGAGGTATGCCTGAATATGCAGCAGGAGATCCAGAAA